AACCCTTTGTGTAGCTCAATATAAAGTCCAGGGCACTAACCTTTTTCTAGCCTAATAATTAATCCAGTGTTCAACAAATCTTACATTTATACACATCTTAATGAGATGCTCTTGATAGATAAATAAAACAAATAAACCAACATATAATTTATATCTTAAACATCCTTTTTAGATAAAGTAAATGAAGTTGAAGTGGATGATCATTCTTACATATACTAGTATAGATGTAAATTATTTTCCCAAGATAAACGCTTGACTAAACGCATAAAAATATAAACTGTGCAGTTACACTTGGATGAAAAAGTTTTTAAAGATGTTTGATATTTTACATTAAACCCGAACGTTTAAAGAGTCAAGTAAATCTTTAAATTGATTTGTTCAAACGTTGTTATATTTGTTATCTAGATGGTTTTGCTGGAAAAGATCACGCTCGAAACTCCCTGGTCCCGTGAGGTTATAGCTGGTCCCGTGAGGTTATAGCCGGTCCCGTGAGGTTAAAGCTGACCCCATGAGGTTATAGCTGGCCCCGTAAGATTATAGCTGGTCCCTTGAGATAATAGCTGGTCCCGTGAGATTAAAGCTGGTCCCATGAGATTATAGCTGGTCCCATGAGATTATAGCTGGTCCCGTGATATTATTGCTGGTCCCGTGAGATTAAAGCTAGTCCCGTGATATTATAACTGGTCCCGTGAGATAATAGCTGGTCCCATGAGATTAAAGCTGGTCCAATGAAATAATAGCTGGTCCCGTGAGATTATAGCTGGTCCCGTGAGATTATAGCTGGTCCCTTGAGATTAAAGCTTGTTCCGTGAGATTATAGCTGGTTCCGTGAGATTATAGCTGGTCCCGTTAGATTATTGCTGGTCCCGTGAGATTAAAGCTGGTCCCGTGATATTATAACTGGTCCCGTGAGATAAATAGCTGGTCCCATGAGATTAAAGCTGGTCCCGTGAGATTATAGCTGGTCCTTTGAGATTAAAGCTTGTTCCGTGAGATTATAGCTGGTTCCGTGAGATTAAAGCTGGTCCCGTTAGATTATAGCTAGACCCGTTAGATTATAGCTGGTCTTGTGAAATTATACCTGGTCCCGTGAGGTTATACCTAGTCCCGTGAGATTAAAGCTGGTATCGTGTGATTATAGCTGGTCCCATGAGATTATAGCTGGTCCCGTAAGATTAAAGCTGGTTCCATGATATTATAGCTGGTTCCGTGAGATTAAAGCTGGTCCCGTTAGATTATAGCTAGTCCCGTTAGATTATAGCTGGTCTTGTGAAATAATAGCTGGTTCCGTGAGATTATAGCTGGTCCCATGAGATTATAGCTGGTCCAATGAGATTATAGCTGGTCCCGTGATATTATTGCTGGTCCCGTGAGATTAAAGCTGGTCCCGTGATATTATAACTGGTCCCGTGAGATAATAGCTTGTCCCATGAGATTAAAGCTGGTCCCGTGAGATTATAGCTGGTCCTTTGAGATTAAAGCTTGTTCCGTGAGATTTTAGCTGGTTCCTTGAGATTAAAGCTGGTCCCGTTAGATTATAGCTAGTCCCGTTAGATTATAGCTGGTCTTGTGAAATAATAGCTGGTCCCGTGAGGTTATACCTGGTCCCTTGAGATTATAGCTGGTATCGTGCGATTATAGCTGGTCCCGTGAGATTATAGCTGGTCCCGTGAGATTAAAGCTGGTTCCATGATATTATAGCTGGTTCCGTGAGATTTAAGCTGGTCCCGTTAGATTATAGCTAGTCCCGTTAGATTATAGCTGGTCTTGTGAAATAATAGCTTGTCTCGTGTGGTTATAGCCGGACCTGTGAGGTTATAGCCTCGTTTAGATATTCCTCTAAGATCTTTAGTTTGAGTGTTGATTGATATAAAACTAGCTAACTCTTCGTCAGGCGTGCCAACTTACAACGATATTTACAATATACTGACTGCTTGACACCGACGTAGTATTGAGAGGACAAGCTTATTAATGTCAGCCTTTGGTATGCAAGTCCAGTCTTCAAGCCGCGGTGCTTATAGATTGCTGATGTTGTTTGACGGGTTTGGACGTCATTATAATTATGAGATGTACATTTAGGTCAAACACGCGGTTTTGAGGGCCATTTGTCGTTCTGATTTCTTAAAAAAATGTATAATGACACAACCAGAATTAGTCTGGTATTATTTTGTTTCAAATTCGTTATCGTTTCATGTGTTTTGCAGGAAAAAGGGAAAACTTTGGCCTAAAAATATCTTTTCTGTATTTTTTGGGGGATTTGAATTTCCCAAAAGCCCAAAGTGCTAAGGTTTCGATACTCAAAAACCCCATTAATTTATTGACCCCCACGTTTTAAAATTTCGCAACAGTCGGGATAAACCCTTCATTCCCTTTATCGGAAAAAACCGTACACGGATATTAGCTCGAGAAAATGCGAACCAAGTCTTATCAGTAAAGAAATCCACCAACGATATTGTATCCAGTTTATGTGCTTCACCACATAAGTTGCTATTTATTACTGCTATGGCGGTACACCAACACGAGCTGCCATCTCCGCTGATACCAGTCTCAGACATGCCTACGGTCCTTTGGCTTAAATATTCCGGAATTCTAGACATTCGAATTTCTTATTATGAACTAAAATTAACATAGTTTAAGGCTTTTGATAGGTTTTTGACCATTGCAAAATTTACGTATTAACAAATTCCAAGTATGTCCGTTCCTGACGTGCATGTGAAACTCAAATTTTATGTTGAGATTGCCGACCTGACTTTATCAAAGGGATAAGTTGGCCGATTTAGCTAGTTAATTCAGTTTAATTTTTTTCTTTATTTTCTTTGTCTTTCTTTCTTTTTTTTTTTTACTTTTTTTGCAAATGTACTCTTAATATTTTGGCATTGTTACTCATTGACTGACAATTTTATCCAAATGGTATATTGACAATATTTTTTACTGTCTAACAAAGCTATCATGTGTTTGACTGTGGAAATAAGGGGAATAACTGAAAATAAATGATCTCATCATTGTAATAAATGTCGTCTCCCTTTGAGCAAATTCTTGAGAGACGAACAGTCATGCTCTGCTTCGTCAAGCTAAATTCCTCTGTAAATTTTTTTATCAATAACTCTTACTAAATGATATAAGATTTAAAGAAAAAAAAAGAAAGAAAAAAGAAATTAGTACGAGACAGAAGTCTGATTCAGTAACTGGGGAAAAACATGTTACTACTATCACACTGTATCTGAAGCAAACTTACCAAACTACATTTTAGAATAAAGATACAGCTCTTATGTAATTTTCATAATGTCAAAAATCATAAAAAAGCGACACTTAAAGAAAGTCATGGGAGCCGCTTATTCATAGTCCAAAGATTGACGGAAAAGGGCCGGAAATTTGCGATTGGTGTTCAGGTCCTTATCCAAAGACAGATGGAAAGGGCCGGAAAGTTAAGATTGAACTTGCCCTGATTATTTTTCTTTTATTTCCTTAGATCCTTTTCCATTTATTTAGTTTAGATTATATGATATGGGCCAAAGACTTATCAGTCAGTGGTTTGCTCTGTTTAACTCCCAATTAAAAGTTTGTGTAATGTACGTGACAGAAAGAAAATAAATGTTTGAACTTAACATATTGACATCATTTTATGACACTGCTGAGTGTATTTTACAATCATTCAGACCTAACGATTCAAATTTTACACACAAAAATATTTAAATGATAAGTTAAGGTACATTTTGCATCAGAAATACATGTTTTATTATTTAGAAATATCAAACATGTGTTAAATATTGTTTAAACTTTGGATTTGTCAATGACAATGATAAAATAGTGGATTTAGAGCATGTTGCATGTTTAAAAACCGATTAAGGTAGCGCTGAACACATGCAGTAATTTGTAGCAAATATAGCTAAATGTAAACAAAGTAGTATTTTGACTTCCGTACAAAATACTAATTTACTATAGATTTACTAATTGCCAACAAAGTGAAAGAAGCAAAAGGTAGTTCCTATATATGGCAAATGATCTTTTTATTGATTTTGTTTTATTCATTTTTTTATTTGAAACTGTATAAAATACGAAACATTTAGTTTTTGAGAAATAAAAATTGTGGTAATTCTGAAGTAAAATTGGGCCTTTAAATAACAAATATCAAAAACATTTTGACCAATTGATGCCTCGTTTAGACAGCATTGTATATGTCCTATAAATATTGCTCGGTACCGTGAACACACTGACAATTTAGAAAGAAATTTAAACTTACCTTAGCCCAGGCTGATTAATAATTCGCTGAAGCTGTTATCTTTTTATATCTGTGAGCTAATTTATTGTATGATTTCAGTGACATGACATCACGTAACTCGCAGTATGATCACTTGAATGACAGAAAGTTGAAGAATTCAGTATTAACAGGCAGTTACTTTCAATATTTACACGAACTTTGCCTTATCCAGCCCCATTAAATGATGTTGGCCATTTTTATATTGCTAATAGTTCTGGGTAACTTCTGTAATATTTTCGGGAGGATAACTTTTACAAGCTTTCTGTCTCTGCTGGTTAAATCAGAGTATTGGTGTGATACTAATAATATATGTTATATATTGCGAACCGGATCGGAATATCCGCCCCGAGGGGACCCGCCCATTGGGAAGTACCGAGGCTTGCCGAGTTACCGCACATGCACGGGTTCCCGAGGTACGGAACCACAAACATAGGTCAGATATTTTTTTCTTGCATATTCTACCATATGCTATTATATTTTGAACTCTTTACCTTGATAAAGCAATTTTCCATGGACATTTATGTCATTACACTCGTAACTTTTTTCTTATAAAAGCGTATTATATTACAACGTCATTCATAACAGTAAAATTACATCATCCTAAGCGTGCCATTGTATAGCAAGCGACTCATCTGGCACCCTGCATTCCATATGAAATTTCCGGCAAGGGTAAAACTTACGGAAACATCAATATAATATGCAAGAAATCATGATCTTCCTATTAATAAACACAAGAAGTATGTACTCATTTGTTCTTTATTTCTCAGATCAGTTTTAAAAACGACTTCACATTTTAAATACACTGAAAAAATACAAAATGTACAAATAAGATGACAAATAAAAATTAGAATTCATAATAAATGATGATGATAAATCACAAATGACAATGTTATTTACAATGAAGAATGAATGATAACTGTCATGTAATGCAGTGAATAATGATTAAGATTATGTTTAACATTATTATGACAATGTTACAAATATCATTATTGATGATGATGATAATGATGATGATTGAAACAGTTGTGAAATTTCAATGATTATGACAAATGGTTAGCTATTTACACTTATGATTAAAGAACAATGATGACTGATGATGAATGATGATGATAAAAGTGATGATAACAGTGATAATAACAATACTCCCAGCTGTCAGGATATTATCAACATAATCATGGTTAAATATAAAATCAATTAACTAAATATTTCTACACTAATTAACAAGATATTTCAAATATCTCCATCTTATATTAACACTTTAAACACAGAGACTATACGTACATGTGTATATCTCAAATAAGTGTCAATAAAGTAAAACAGAAATGTTTTATTAGAACAGTTATTCCAGTACTGGTACAGTAAATCCCAATTTCATATAATCATTTACATATTCATGTATACAAGTACACTATTGTTTGCTACCTCAATCTTATATCATTAATAAAAGATATACATCCAATTAACTTGGGTAAACTTGGGTAAACATTTTGCAATTTGTTGACAATTTCTCCGACACTGCAAGTCTGTCTGTATCGTTTTTAAAGCTCCCGAAAATAAAATTGATAAAAAATATTGAGTATTAAGGCTGCAGTAAATTTCACTAACAGAGATTGTTCTTTAATTAAATGACAGATAAAAAAAATTCTTTGAATTTTCACAGTGAAACCTTCAAGCATTTTGCGAAAAAGTGATACATTTTTTGATAGAAACAAGATCACCTACTGTCAAATCATCTTTATATTAGCCCTACATGTTGCAAATGAACTTGTGTCTTGGGCTATTGGCCCTACATTTTGTAAATGAACTAATGTTTTGCGCTATTGGCACGGCATGTTGCAAATTAACTAGTGTTTTGGGCTATTGGCCCTACATGTTGCAAATGAAATTTGTTGTGCACTATTGGCCCTACATGTTGCAAATGAACTAGTGTTTTGGGCTATTGGCCCTACATGTTGCAAATGAAATTTGTTGTGCACTATTGGCCCTACATGTTGCAAATGAACTTTATGATTTGGGTTATTGGCCCTACATGTAACAAATGAACTAATGTTTTGGGCTATTGAACCTACAATTTATGTTCTGGGCTATGAACTTAATATTGGCAATACAAGAATGTGTCCAATATATTGGTCTTCCGTGATGTATGCTTAATGTATTGCATGTTAGGGTCTACATATTCACCCTGTATGTTGGCCATTTGTGTTGTGATGGCTTGACATTAGACCTATGTGCTGCAAACAGTCCTAATAAAGACCATGTGTATTAAATAATGAACTTAAAATATACCCTATGTGTTGCAATTCAAGTTAAAGTATTTCACCTCATCAATAATTTTCATTGCTATGTCATGTTGGACTGGTCAACCGTACCAGGAATTTACTGAACCAACTCCAGATTTGCCTAATATGTTCAACATACAGGCATTATTGTTGAAGCCAGAGCTTGACAGATAAATTTTTCTGGTTTTGTTAAAGAAGTCTCTCACCTGATTACTTCATAACAGAGCAATACAATTTTACTGACTTGTATTATGTTATCACTTGTGTGTAATAAACCAGTGCAGGTTCTAAGGACTGATCTACCCAAATAGCTCATGATTATACATGTATATTAGATGGTGACTCAACTTAATAATCATGATTAATTTCTATACTAATTTACTAGACCCTTCTAGTTAGTATCTATGATCTTAACATGCAAATCGATTTCTGGCAAAATGCCAAAACTGTTCATTGTCAACCAGTTTGCAAGCGAAGTCATAAATCAGATCTGACGATTTATTTATTCAAATCTAAATGAAGAATTTTGCACATTAAACTCCCAGCATTCACAAATCAAACGTCTGCCATCTTGTCTATTATTTTCTCGGAAATAATTTTATCTTTGAGACTGTTTTTATCCATGAGTTTGTCATCTTGCGCATCGTCCCAAAGTTTACGAAGTGTCTTTTTCAACCGTAACACTGTTAATCTTGCCTTGGGTTTCTGGTTCCAACATTCCTTCATTGTTCGTGATAACTGAGACAGCACCTGAAAATGATAACGAAGTACGTGATAACTGAGACAGAACCTGAAAATGATAACGAAGTACGTGATAACTGAGACAGAACCTGAAAATGATAACGAAGTACGTGATAACTGAGACAGCACCTGAAAATGATAACGAAGTACGTGATAACTGAGACAGAGTCTGAAAATTGATAACGAAGTACGTGATAACTGAGACAGAGTCTGAAAATGATAACGAAGTATGTGATAACTGAGACAGAGTCTGAAAATGATAACGAAGTACGTGATAACTGAGACAGAACCTGAAAATGATAACGAAGTACGTGATAACTGAGACAGAGTCTGAAAATTGATAACGAAGTACGTGATAACTGAGACAGAGTCTGGAAATGATAACGAATTACGTGATAACTGAGACAGAGTCTGAAAATTGATAACGAAGTACGTGATAACTGAGACAGAGTCTGAAAATGATAACGAAGTACGTGATAACTGAGACAGAGTCTAAAAATTGATAACGAAGTACGTGATAACTGAGACAGAGTCTGAAAATTGATAACGAAGTACGTGATAACTGAGACAGAGTCTGAAAAATGATAACGAAGTACGTGATAACTGAGACATAGTCTGAAAATGATAACGAAGTACGTGATAACTGAGACAGAACCTGAAAATTGATAACGAAGTACGTGATAACTGAGACAGAGTCTGAAAATGAATAACGAAGTACGTGATAACTGAGACAGAGTCTGAAAATGAATAACGAAGTACGTGATAACTGAGACAGAGTCTGAAAAATGATAACGAAGTACGTGATAACTGAGACAGAACCTGAAAATGAATAACGAAGTACGTGATAACTGAGACAGAGTCTGAAAATTGATAACGAAGTACGTGATAACTGAGACATTGTCTGAAAATGATAACGAAGTACGTGATAACTGAGACAGAACCTGAAAATGATAACGAAGTACGTGATAACTGAGACAGAATCTGAAAATGAATAACGAAGTACGTGATAACTGAGACAGAGTCTGAAAATTGATAACGAAGTACGTGATAACTAAGACAGAACCAGAAAATGATAACGAAGTACATGATAACTGAGACAGAGTCTGAAAATGATAACGAAGTACGTGATAACTGAGACAGAGTCTGAAAATTGATAACGAAGTACGTGATAACTGAGACAGAGTCTGAAAATTGATAACAAATCACATAAATTCTGCAATTTTTCACTGGCTAGCGCATTGGATTATATATATCTATTTCATTCAATGTAATGTGGCAACGTATACCCCACAATTAAACTGTACCATGTATGACATACGTTAGCATTATTTCAGGCACAAATGGGCACCCAAGTAGAACTACCTAGGTTCCGTAAGCTAGCTGGATAGCTTCCTCACATGAAAGAATCCAAAAGTCCCTGTCGTGATTCAAACCCACAGCTGTGAGAGGCAAGTGATTTGAAGTCAACAAACTTACCCACTTGGTCAAGGACATTAGACAATACAACCCATGATGTAAACTTTATTTACAAAAACAAAAAAGCTGTTACCCTGGAGTTTTAGATATACACAAATTTTATTTACAATTTCATGAGCTTTTAATTTGCTCCAGCAATGAAGCATATGACTCACAGAAATTTCCATAAATATCCTTCAGATTGTGGATCAGTATCAATTATTTGTCATTCATCATAATAACAGACAATCTTTTGAAATATATAGCTATGAATGGTATTTCTAGTTCATAGTAGTGAACAGTTTAGACGTTCTGATTCAATGCTAAGTTGACTGCTCACAGAAATGATCACAAACAGGACCATGTGTAACCAATGGCTATGTTTTATTCAAGTGTAGCAACAGGACAGCCTGTCAGTCAATTTGCATAAAAACTGTAAATACTGTAAAGGTCCATTCAGCTCAACTTGACAACAAACAAGAGTTGTCCATGAGAACAACTGGCTCAACTATTGTCAGTGGTTTACAATAAGAAAAGGGTCATAACTCTGTAAAAAAATAAAGGTAACTCAGAGTTATGGAACCTGTGCTCATCATATTAGAAAAACATAGAGAACAAGTGTGATCGGTTTCAACCCATTTCCTTCAGTAGTTTTCGAAATACCAACTTGCACGGAAAAACTGAATCAAAGCGAAACACCAACTATAAAGTTCCCCCTTTTCTCCAGAAAGTTAAGCTAAATATGAGAGTGATGTGACTTTAATAAGGGGATATAGAGAGAGAAACATACTGTATCTGAGGACCATCTGTTAGGTATAACTGGCCTATACTGGTCTACAACAACTACTTTACGCATGTCTTCAAACGACGGATCTGACGGAACCATGTCCCAAAATGGCGGCTTGTAATCTTCTACGATACCTGAAATGTTCATCAAATAGAGCATATCACATTACATGTAAAATTGAATTATATTTATATATATCAACAGTGAAAGTGTTATAGTTTAAAAGTCATATAACTTAAACTTCAACAAAAATAAAGCCGAAAATTTTTCATTATCATACCTTGTGAGTAACATCTTCTGGCTATCTCCCACAGTACGAGAGAGAACGCGTAGATATCTACACATTTAAAGCTGTCAAATATATCCGGATTTAACGTCTCGTCTAATAGTTCCGGTGCCATGTATCTCTTTGTACCCACTTTATTATTTGAGCCTGAAATTACAGAAATAATTATCAATAAAAATCATAAATTGAAATGTCATAAATGCTTTTACCACATACCTGTGCCGCTTTTACGACTCTGTAAAAATGGTATTGTACAACCATGTATATATTTTAAAGTGACGTCATTTGCAATATGTCCGTGGCCGAGTAGTTAAGGTCATTGACTTCAAACCACTTGCTCCTCATCGATGTGGGTTCGAATCCCCACAGGGACTTTGGATTCTTTCATGTGAGGAAGCTATCCAGCTAGCTTATGGAATGTCGGTGGTTCTACTCAGGTGCCCGTTCGTGCCTGAAATAATGCACCGAAGGGCATCTGAGGTATTCCTCCACCAGGAAAGCTGGAACGTCGCGATATGACCTAGATTGTGTTGATGCGACATAAAACCCAAACAAACAAAATTTGCATTATTATACAAACATAGTGTAAAGACATGTAAAGAAAAGTTAGTGTTACACTATATGTGTGTCAATGAAAAAATGAATATTTTTCACTTTATTTTGGGTATGTGATAAATTAAATATTCAAAAATAAGTTTCAAAAAAAGTTTCAAAATAAGCTGACAGTAGGACAGCACGCTTGACTATTCTTAGTGCTTGATAGTAAAACAAGAGTCTGGATAATTCTGTCAAAATCCATGTTAGAGTTATGGGCCTTGGACAATGACCTTCTATTATGCTCTAAAATGAGTGTGCAATTTACTTCAGTAGTTTTGGAGATACCAACTTGCACACAAAAAATAATCCATCATGATGCTGATGCCAGTGGGAGTACAATAGCTTTTCCAACTCTTTGAATAGTTCACCTGTTTTCACTCAATTATTTGCTATTTCGTCACCATTTTCTCCATTCCAGAACTAACAACATATCTACAGTTACTCCAAGCACGATGAACCTATACATGGGCATCTTCCTTTAAGCTTCAACCAAAGCACAATCAATCATACCAAAAAGACAGGTGAGTGAATGAACCCTACACAATTATTTAACAGCGTTTCGTACATTACAGTGGTAAATTTAGATGTTTAACCACAAATTACAGGGGTCTGACACCACAAAATTATCTGTGTTTGATAAAAATATTTACCTAGGTCAAGATAATTCTCCTCACATTTATGTAGAACAGCAAGACCCAGATCTGCTATACAAGCTGTGCCATCTTTTCGTACTAAAATATTCTTTGACTTAATATCTCTATGTGCTATTGCAGGTTTACCTCGATTTCCCATTATCTCTGTAATATATAATTATCATAATTATCATCCTTTATAAATTATCATAACTATCTATGTAATTTATCATTTTTATTTTTCTATATAAATTACCATAATTATCATTCTAAATAAATTGTCTTTCTATATAAATCAAAATTATCCTTGTATATGAATTATTCTAACACGACCCACATTTTTCCCTATTGAACATAGAAGAACCGAAAGTGTGCATTATTATCCTATAAAATCACTCTTTGACATGCTATATTTAGACATGTGACGTAATCATTATACACGTGACGTAACAAGTAAAATGTGATGCGCTGAAAATAAGTACGGAAACAAATCAGGCTCAATTTAGCTTAATATCAGGTATGGCAGCATTTATTTGTTGATGTCATGTTAGAATCAAAATAATATATCCAAATCGGTGATAGAATCGTTTGATAACATCACTGTTTGTCATTCGGATGGGTATCATTATATCACTCGAGTTACGCCTTCTTGATAAAATTCCTCGCATCCAAACTCCAAACAGTGATTTTATTAGGCAAACACAGTTTGGGAAATATTATTTCTTAATCAAAATTATAACTATTTATTACATGCTTTTCGATGGTTTATAGAAATATATCAGTGAATTAAAACTGATAATTTCACTGTTTGAAACAGTGAAATTATCAATTTGATAATTTCACTGTTTTGAATTCAAGCCCCTTACGTTGTTTCAGTGAAAGACCAGCGTACAAAGAACTGGAAACCAACCTAATAACGTGACGTCGTAAATGACATCACATTGTATAATTATTTGGCGCGCTATTCATTTATTATTAGGTAAAAATGTCCTTTTTAACGTTTGATTGCATGTAATAAAAAGAAAATTTGTTTAGTTTAGTGTAAGATCGAAATATATTTCACCTCGTGAACACCAAAAGCTCATATTTCACTCGTGGCTACGCCACTCGTGAAATATACCTTTTGGTGCTCACTCGGTGAAATATATTCCGATCTTACACTGAACTTAACAAATATCCTCTATATAAGAATTGTTGTTTTATATAAATTATATAATTATCATTTGTATATGAATTATTTTAATTAACTGTATATATAAACTATCATTACATGATACACATAATTATCATTTCTAATATGCGTTATCATAATTATCATTATATTGAATTATCATTAATTATCATTTTTATAGTGAATTAATCATTTTATATAAATCACATTATGATCTACGTGTATTATATAATTCATATAACATACCTGTATGTAAATGTACCAGTCCGGCACAAGCACTGTGCATTAATCATAGCATACTTTCGTGGTCTAGTGTATTATATAATTCATATAACATACCTGTATGTAAATGTACCAGTCCGGCACACGCACTGTGCATTAATCATAGCATACTTTCGTGGTCTAGTGTATTATATAATTCATATAACATACCTGTATGTAAATGTACCAGTCCGGCACAAGCACTGTGCATTAATCATAGCATACTTCCGTGGTCTAGTGTATTATTATAATTCATATAACATTACCTGTATGTAAATGTACCAGTCCGGCACATGCACTGTGGCATTAATCATAGCATACTTTTGTGGTCTAGTGTGTTATATAATTCATATAACATACCTGTATGTAAATGTACCAGTCCGGCGCATGCACATGTGCATTAATCATAGCATACTTTTGGTCTAGTGTTTATATAATTCATATAACATACCGTATGTAAATGTACCAGTCCGGCCACATGCACTGCTGCATTAATCGTAGCATACTTTCGTGGTCTAGTGTATAATATAATTCATATAATATACCTGCCTATGTAAATGTACCAGTCCGGCACAGGCACTGTGCATTAATCGTAGCATACTTTCGTGGTCTAGTGTATTATATAATTCATATAACATACCTGTATGTAAATGTACCAGTCCGGCACATGCATTGTGCATTAATCGTAGCATACTTCCGTGGTCTAGGTGTATATATAATTCATTATAACATACCTGTATGTAAATGTACCAGTCCGGCACAGGCACTGTGCAATTAATCATAACATACTTTTCGTGGTCTAGTGTATTATATAATTCATATAACATACCTGTATGTAAATGTACCAGTCCGGCACAATGCACTGTGCATTAATCGTAACATACTTTCATGGTCTAGTGTATTATATAATTCATATAACATACCTGTATGTAAATGTACCAGTCCGGCACAGGCACTGTGCATTAATCATAACATACTTCCGTGGTCTAGTGTATTATATAATTCATATAATATACCTGTATGTAAATGTACAAGTCCGGCACATGCACTGTGCATTAATCATAACATACTTCCGTGGTCTAGTGTATAATATAATTCATATAACATACCTGTATGTAAATGTACAAGTCCGGCACATGCACTGTGCATTAATCGTAACATACTTTCGTGATCTAGTGTATAATATAATTCATATAACATACCTGTATGTAAATGTACAAGTCCGGACATGCACTTGCTTTTAATCGAAATTTTTCGTTTCTAGTGTTTATTTGAAATAATCGTATAGTGAGCCTTAGCGTATACTGCATTTTCAACCAATTTGTGTGCACGATTACTGATGTCAGCCTAAATCAAAACAATAAATTAGCTCACAGATATTCAAAAATAACCATTAATTCATAATTTTTACGATCGTTTCTAATTTTTCATCAAAGCTAACTGTCTTAAAATGTCAATAGAGTAAATAATTCTAACCTCGACCTTTGACCTGGCAAATTTGTATTATGGACCTCTTGTGAAGAAGTTGCCCTTATAAGTTACCATGGAAACCACAAATATATCTAAGTCAACAAAATCACTATAAGCTGTATACCTCTTGTTTTGACTTGACCCAGTGACCTCAAAATCAATAGGAGTCATCTAACCTCCATGCCAAATATGAAGACTGTGGGCCAAAGGAATCTTCAAGTTACTTGGGTGACAAGTTTTTAAAGTCAAGGGCCCCTGTGACTTTGACCTTTTGACCCAGTGACCCCAAAATCAATAGGGTCATCTACTAATCATGATCTAACCTCCATGCCAAATATGAAGACTGTGGGCCAAAAAGGAAAACCCTCAAGTATTGCGGACAACGAAAACCAACGACGATCGGAAATACGTCCCGGAATGGTGGGAAGGAAAAGCTGTTTCCAGAAACCCCCCCCTTTAAAACCAACTTCGTTTGCGGGGGTTTAAAAACTACTTTAAAAAACCTGTTCACAAAAACCCCCTTAAAATCTGAAATTTAAAGGGGACCCTCAACATCATTGGTAGCTTTAATAACTGAGTACATTGGGAAAAAGGCCTATGGGGTTAAACTGAGATAAAGCGCTAAAATTGGGCAGTTTTTTAAACATGGCGCAGTGTAACATAGTTTTGCCCTTTAACCCCATCCCTCAAAAATTTTAACCAAAAGATAAAAGTTTTAAAATTAAAGTTTGTTTGGGTAAAAGGAAAAGCTAATAAGAATGGACCCCCTTTTAAAATCTTTCCCGGAAACCCCACCCAGACAAAAAGAAATTTTATTTAAAAAGTTTTTTTTACTTAATGAAAACAACGGGTTTGGGCCCCTTTTTTTGACGAGGTTTAAACCCCCAAATGTGGACACCCAATAAAATTTAACATAAATTTAGTTTTTCAAAAAAAAACCCCTTTGTCATACAGAGACGTATTTTCCTTGCAGTAACTCCAAAAGTGGGAAAGGGCAAGTTTTTGGGTTCTTATAAAATCCCAAAAGTTCAAGGGGTAAAAAATTGAAAAAAAAAACCCCCAAGTAACAGAAAAAGAGGGGGACATATTTTTCCCCCTTTTGGCAGCTTTAAAAATATTTGAAAATTTTTAACATCCCTGGTTTTTAATAACCGAGTATATTAGGTTCGTAAAAGACACTTTTTGTATATTCCGTCCACGTCCCAACTCGCCGTCACGTGGAAAAAATTATTTTCCGGAAACCCACTTTCTCCTTTTGAAAATTTTCCCTTCCAAAAGATTTTTACCTATAATATAAAGATATATTACCTATAGTATAAAGATATTTTACCTATAATATTGTTTTCACTGTGCAACAAAGACTTATCCTTAAGAAAATCTACTTGGTTAAATTCACCTTTGTTTTTCAGCTTTTTAATTAAAATGGCACTCCACTGAGGCCTTTTTGATATGACAGGACTTAAAATATTTTTTTCTTGAGATTTGGATACAACAGCTTTCCATATTCTCTTACCTGTTGATCAAAAAAAAAACACTCAACAAAATGTCATCTCACAAGAATGTCCTGTCTTTTTGCAACCATGAATTAATACAGTGGCAAAAAAACAAAAAAACAAACAGAAACGTTACCTATACATTCTAGGAGTTGCACCTGTCTAGCGACTGTTTGTTGAACAAGGAAAGGTAACCCTGATCCACTACCACTGGTACAAGATTCATCCAACATCTCCTATAAAACATAATTATTATAAAATTAAGGTTAAAAACTGTTCACTATATAGGGAAAAAAATGTGTAAGCGGCCAAAAAGCTTAGTCGGTAAAAGTCCCAAAATGGTATTCCAAGGGTCTTGGGTTCAAGTCACAGTCCCTGGGTTCAAGTCCCGGTCCCCGGGTTCATGTCCCGGTCAGGCTGCACATTTATCTCACCCTGTACCATAACATTGGTCACCTTGTTTTTATATTTCAAATATCTTATACTACACCGTAACTGCTGTAAGTTAGATAAGATGAAAATAATCAGGAAATTTTCCATTTGTTGAATTACCGTATTTACAATATACCAACCACAAATTTACCCCCAAAAAATATATATCAACATTTTTTTTTTTTTTTTTTTTTTTTTTTTTAATAATTGTTGGCCATATCACAGTAAAGTATTGCCAATGTACCAACCACAAATTTACAAAAAAAATACATGTATATTTAAAACAAAATTTTCTTAAAAAATAATTCCATTAAAGTGACATTATGCTCATATTTTCATAGTCAAGTTGAGCTGATTTGACTTTATATTTCAAAAGATTGACTGTCAAAATGGTGTTTGACCAACAGTTGATATTGGAAAATGTTTAGGATAAAATTATAAATCTGACTAAAATTTAAAAAGACAGAAATTCCATTTGGATCTGTGTGATATTTATTGTTTTTGCAACCTTTATTATCAAATTGAAAGTATGTATGGCAAAATGAAAACTTATTTTGATCTTCACACGTTCACTCACTATATACCCTTGGATGGGCATAATGTCATTTTAAATTTTCAAAAACAGGATAACTAAATTTTTCAAGCATAGGATAATTAACAACACATTACATTTTAATAACCATTACTCATTAGTCTTAGAAATTGATTTTCAATTTAATCTTGTTTATGTTCAAGATTACTTTTTTTTTTAATTTATTAAGTTTCAACTGAGAATTTTTGTTCAATAATTGGATGGTGGATTATAGTGGTTAAGAAAAACCCCTATCCTTCCCCCATTCCCTATCGTTCCATCACACAGTAAGAGTCACTTGAGTTAGATATTATACGATACACTATGCTCAAATATTAAACTTGTAAATATTGATAATTGCTACACAGTCTCTTTGTAAATACTGGTATAAAACAAGAGTGTTTTGACTTCACAAAAAGTAAACAAGTTCTATTTTAAACTCTACACACTATAGGTGGACACATAAACATATAGTGTCATTACAAAAATCTAGTAGTTTTTTTTTTATAAAGAAAGGACCATCTCTACTTGACTCATAATAGGGAATGTAGCTCCCCAGTTGGTATATTCTTTAATTCAAATAAGATAATTGAGCCGCGTCACGACAAAACCAACATAGTGCCTTTGCGACCAGCATGGATCCAGACCAACCTGCCAATCCGCGCACTCTGATCATGATCCATGTTGTTCGCTATCAGTTTCTCTACTTGTTATAGGGTTTGTAAGTGAACAGCATGGATCCTGATCAGACTGCGCCGATGCGCAGGCTGGTCTGGATCCAGCAAACCCATTATGTTGGTTTTGTTAGCGGCTTATATTTAGTATGAATTTTATAGAAGTCAATAGTTTTCTATGATTAACATATTTAACTCAAAGATGAGCATACTCTATATCTTTAACTTCTGAATACAGTCATTTGATTTAAAATTTTGTATTTACTAGCCAGTATTCCAGTTTTGAATTTATTCTACTATATACTTAACTAAATTTTCTTAAAATTTACACTGGCCCGAACTAATTTTCACTGGCCAAGTGCTAAATTTGATGACTGTGAATATATAAGCATATTTTCCAAGGTGTGATTCTTTGATTTATTTAAATAAAAACCCAGACATGTGAGCAAATAATTCAACAGCAATTGTGAAAATGAAACAAGTTTAACACTTTCAAGGAATTATCTAGAAACAGTGAAAGTGAAAACAGATTTATGGTTCCTGCACTATGACCTTCCAACATGAAACCGCAAAAAAAAAACAAACTTGTGTCCCAATTGAACATCTGTATTAATAAATGAGAAATGAAGTGACTGATTTGCTTTCAGAACTATAAATGTACATTTTATATGATATCAATACTGACTTTAAGGGGAGCAGTGGCCTAGTGGTTAAGGTGTCTGCCTCTCAACGTAGGGATCATGGGTTCGAGCCCTACTCAGGTCACGACCATGTCTCTTCATGTGACACAAGTACTGGTTGGTTCCAGGAAGCAGATTCGAAAGTGATTAATATAAGTTGCAATAACTTTCGGAAACGAGCTTTCATAAATATGTTTAAACTAAACAGTTTCTAAGCTAATACGGACTTTGTTGTGTGCAGTATAGCTCCTCGCTATAGTCTAGTCAGGGTAAAAAAAAAGACCTATCAAATTTCATTACAACTTTTTACGAACATGTTAATACACTGACCCTAAGTGTTGTGTCCCCTATCTGTTGTGCGCGTAACTCATCGTGTCCAAGAAGTAGATTTTCTTTATGTGATAGCTCGTTCATCTTCCTCTGATGTCTCCATTTACACAGAAACATCACAAACGCGAGCACGATAATAAATCCGATAAACGGAAGAGCTATAAAGATGGCCATATCTCTAGTGGCGCCACCATCGTGTGTTTCTACAATAAAAAATAACATTGTCTAAAAATAAATAAATGAAAACAACAATGCATATAACACATTATACAGTTGTATATAACAAATATGACAGCAGCATCAACTATTCTCAGTGTGTGACAGTAAGAAAAGGGGCATAAATAGTTTGTAATTACTGCTATGAAATATGTAAATTAATTAACAAAATGAATAAAGTCAATTAAGTAATAACAGCATAGTTTTAGACATGTCCTTTTGATAAAGCACCTGCTACTTTTAAAGGAACTCCACCGAGGTCTAAAAGCCTAGAAACATAAAACTTGAAAATCTTACAAATATCAAGTGAAGCACTGACAACGAAAAAAGAATAACAAAGAAAGATACTCAGAATTAATTTGAAAACTGGTTTTTGTGCTATAGTTAGCTGGATTTAAGTGAAATGCATTGCAAAACTTTTCCTTTTGGGGTCATTTTACACAATAAAAATGATTATACCGGAAAAACAAGCTGAGAGAATGACCTGAAAATTTTCGCTACCAAATTTTTGGTCAAGACCTTTATCAATTGGTACACAATTCTCAGAAAATATCTGTTCATTTCAGAAAACCTCAGTGAAGTCCCTTTAATGTTATGAACGAATTTACGTCATTTAAAGACATATAAAATTTTGTCAATTTTTTTTTTTTCAAATCTGTATTGATAATCAACAACTAAAAATCAACCATACAATGATATCGTTTCTATCAATGACAGCACTATAAATTTGTCATCTAGATATTTTGTTATCACATATCACATTTGTCATATATTTATCAACTGTCTGAGATCACTATTTACCTGGATGTATGGCAGGATAAGGTAACCTGGCTGGTGTGAGATCATCGTTACATCGTGTACCATTAGAACAACAACTCACGGCAACAACGTGGTTATCTTTTATTGTACATAAAACGCGGTTACCAAAATCCATATACGTACAACCCCATTCTGTTCTCTCATTCTGACCTTTCTCTACAACTAATGCCTTGTAACACTGTAACGTAGGAATAAAACAACATTTATTACATTATCCTAGCCAATAAAACATTCAATACATAACAAATTAATAACGAGCCTTTAACAAATTAATAATTTTGTTCTCTACAACTAATGCCTTGTAACACTGTAACGTAGGAATAAAACAAACATTCATTACATTATTGTAGCCAATTAAACATTCAATACATAACAAATTAATAACAAGCCTTTAACAAATTAATAATTTTGTTCTCTACAACTAATGCCTTGTCACACTGTAAAGTAGGAATAAAACAACATTAATTACATTATCGTAGCCAATAAAACATTCAATATAGAACAAATTAATAAAGAGCCTTTAACAAATTAATAACTTTGTCAATAATTTCATAACCAATATATGACCCAAAATCATTTTTCGTTTGTCTGTTTCGAAGAAAAGTCAAGTTATTATGATAGCTGCAGCATCACTGTAATGTCATTGTCGTGGAAAAACTTCATTCAAACATGTTAAAAAGGCATCAACATGAAACTTAGAATACTAATTGATTATTTTGACAAGGTGCAGTTGTTCGACAAGGGGCATAATTCTGAAAGCTAGATTTTTGAAGTTATGCCCCTCTTTTACTTAAATTTTTTGTGTCAAGACATCTCGTACATCAAGTACATTTAGCCAAGGAACAATGTGTTGGCTAAACTGTGCTCTTTTAAAGTAAAAGTATTTTTCTGCCTCATTGGGCAGGAAAATTACATAGGTAGGCATTATGCTTTTATCAAACTTTGGATATATTTATGATAATTACTGGTTATACAAATCAAAATTGTTTGGGATAGATTCTGCTAAAACAATGTTTCACTTATGACTCGTGAAATTTCCAAGACACTTACCCCAGAAAATGTTTCACAATAGTCCTGTCCCATGGGACATTTATCTCTAGGAAAACATGTACAGTTAAACCTTGGCTTGTCAGTGTAATTCATCTTGGCTATCAGATCTTCATCTAAACTTGACCTTGACTCCTGCACATCTTCACCTTGACCTGAATATAGAAAGTAGGTCAACATTCCGTTACCATGGTAAAAAATTCTAAATTACATCACAACCAATTACCAAGATGAAATTTTAAATACATTAGCCAGAAGTGACTTGGTAAAGTTTTATAACTTGTCACACTTAACTTGTATTTTTATTATTCATTTATTTCATTGATTGATTGATTGATTGATTGATTGATTGATTGACTGATTGAATGATTGACTGAACAATAGAACAACCGATCAGCCCACCTTCAACCATCCAATTCACTCATTCATCTAGTTTTGTTTTGGTTTCTTGCTTTGTTGATTTTTGTGTTAGTTAAATGAAACAATTACCTCCCTTTCCCAGTTCAACAAAACCATTTGTTATTCTGAGGAAAGTTACCTCCCTTTCCCAGTTCAACAAAATCATTTGTTATTCTGAGGAAAGTTACCTCCCTTTCCCAGTTCAACAAAATCATTTGTTATTCTGAGGATAGTTACCTCCCTTTCCCAGTTCAACAAAGGCTGTGACTAAAAAAAGGATTGGAGCACCACACTAAATACCGTATTCCGGTATATACCGGACAAGGCGCTTGAATGATAAAATGCTAAAATCTTGTCTTTTTACCCAACGGAATGAACTTTAACAGGTCTAATTCATCTTTTCACACCGAATCAAGTACGATAATCAAGGAAAAATGTAAAATTCGGCGAAAAAAACGATATTTGTCTATTTTGTGATCATGATTTCTGCAAGCGTCTAGAGGTACTGCTCCAATCCTGTATTGAGCTAAATCCTTCAACAAAACCATTTGTTATTCTAAGGATAGTTACCTCCCTTTCCCAGTTCAACAAAACCATTTATTATTCTGAGGATAGTTACCTCCCTTTCCCAGTTCAACAAAACCATTTATTATTCTGAGGATCGTTACTTCCCTTTCCCAGTTCAACAAAACCATTTGTTATTCTGAGGATAGTTACCTCCCTTTCCCAGTTCAACAAAACCATTTGTTATTCTTAGAATAGTTACCTCCCTTTCCCAGTTCAACAAAACCATTTGTTATTCTGAGGATAGTTACCTCCCTTTCCCAGTTCAACAAAACCATTTCTTATTCTGAGGATAGTTACCTCCCTTTCCCAGTTTAACAAAACCATTTCTTATTCTGAGGATAGTTACCTCCCTTTCCCAGTTTAACAAAACCATTTCTTATTCTTAGGATAGTTACCTCCCTTTCCCAGTTTAACAAAACCATTTCTTATTCTGAGGATAGTTACCTCCCTTTCACAGTTCAACAAAACCAAATGGCAATTCTTATTCTAAGGATAGTTTGAGTTTCATTCTACCAATATTGACTTCAGACAATTAAAGAACTTGACACAAAATCTTGGCTTAATTAGAATATGATTAGACCATTTTAAGTCAGACATAAGGTAGACAGCTTCTACTGTTATACTTCCAAATATGCCAGCTGATATAGGTCAGTACTGATCGCACAGGTTAGGGTCAGTATTCAGCCGCCGCCAGCAGACTCAATGTAAATATACAAACTGACCAACTCTTTTAACTATCTGCTTTCAAATCTTTTATTTTATTTATTTAATCTTGAAATCCCAAGATTTGAAAATAGACAGTTCCAAAAGTGTAGATCTGACCTGTCCATATTAAAAATTCATCGCAGTGTAATTGGTAAATTGTTTTTCAAACTATTTTTCATAACCATATAACCATAACTTTACATTAAAACATCTGTGGCCTGAAAGAATATAATGTAATAAAAGAAGCAAAGATCAAAAACCTTCTGATCAAACACTAAACAGCTCGTTTTGTATGATTATCCTTAAATTATTTACAAACAACCTCCTTTTCATTTAATATATTTCTTTCTTTTTTAAAAAAGTGTTTCTCTGCGCAATGAAAAAATAGAAGATCTCTCGTCATTAATTCAGCAGCATGGACGTTATTCACGCACGTGATGGTACATTTGTAAACGTAATCTCATCAAAACACCACTAGGCAGGGAACACTTTTAGACAAAATTTGCCGTGACTTCGCACAAATCACTCAATCCTTTACATGTTATATTGAAAACATTAAACCCAACCCCATAATTCCCTCTAATTTATGCAAATGAGATAAGCAGTTCTATCATTTTCACACTGCGTTTCTTAATCACGGCCCTTCGTCTTTCAAAAGAAGTCGGATAAAAAACGTCCACTTCTGTTCAATACATGAGTCGAATAAACTTGTTTAACAAATATTCATCATGGATTAATTCCCGTTTACACCAAGATTCCCCACTGAGTCGTGGGGTAAAAAGCAAATTTGATTTTTTTATTTATGGTATTTCACGCAACCATGTTAGATAAGGCTTGTTGTAAAGACGTATAATTTCCGATGTTTTACGATACCATTTGTTCCGCCTTGTATCTTAATCACCTGATCAAATCACAACAATAACCGGAGCACAATAATTCCTTCACCTGGTGGTCTACAATCCTTAAACAATATGTCCACCACTATACACAGTACACCACTAAACACAGTCCACCACTATACACAGTACACCACTAAACACAGTCCACCACTAAACACAGTCCGCCACTAAACAAACAATATTCTTCAATGTTCTCAAATTCTTTAATAAATTTTTTATTAAAGGCTCATTCAGACGTAAAAACACAATAATTTTTAGTTTTCAAAAGTTTTTATTTTTGATGTTCCATGTTTCAATATCCAAAACGGTACACACTGGCGATTATAGCTGAAAGAGCTTTTGATTTGCCAATTAGTAAAGTTTAATAATGATTTAGAACTGTTTATACATATAACAAATTACCTCTTTGTTTACCTTTATGTTTTGTTCATGTTTTGTTTACCTTTAGTTTATGTTTTGTTTACATTTTGTTTACCTTTAGTTTATGTTAATTTTGTTTACCTTTCATTTACCTTAAGTTTGTTTTATTTATTTCATTTACCTTTACTTTAAGTTTTATTTACCTTAGTTTAGGTTTTGTTTCCATTTTTCTACACTTATGACAAATCATTTCACATTCAATGCTGCTTTCTTCAAATGATAAGTATCTCACAAATTTAAATCCATTATGAATAGTGTGAGTGAGGTTACTCCACACGAAAAATTGTTGTCATTCGTTCTAATGCTGCTAATATTGTGTCTTTCAAACATGCATTTATTGGGCCTTTAATACATACATGCCCATCTCTTAGCCTTTATCAATTATAAAGTAACTATGAATGTATATGATACATATTTAAAACAAGCGCTTGCTACACCTTCCGTAATACATTCATAGTAATAGTTTTTTTTGTTGTTGTTTTTTTTAAATTGTATAATTGCAATCAAAATCCCTAAAACTGTTTGTGGACTGCTCCAAATTCAAAAGCAGGGCAAGTCCATCCCACAAATTTAGGGGTGTCAGGGGTCAAACACAGCTAAAAAGTTAAACATAAAAATTAAATACACACCTGTCTTGTTCTTTCAACTTATTTCAACACATTCAACTTAACTATCAGTTTAAAATAGAAATTTATTTCCTCTGGTCACAAAAATAACAATGTGGCAATAATTCTTCATTCTGTACAAATAAAACCCTTTCTAATTTGCTTAGCAATATCTATTTTAAGTTTCATCTAGTCCTTTTAAATTTTCATTAAAAAGATAAAATAAGCACTGTATGGTAGAGGTTGTTCTAAAAACCCTTCACTTACTGTCAGTGGATATGTAATTTTCAGTGTAATATAAGATGTGAAAATAATGTACATAGACAGGTGCATGCCATATTAGATTTACATAATTTAATGTCATCACATTCTGTCGACTTTGTTAATGTTAAACTATCTCTTATGTTTCGAGGAGGGGGGGGGGGTGGGTGGGGTTGGGGATGGGGCGGTACTTGTGTCTTCACTTTTACGTAAAGTAAAATCATCTACACATGTATATCCCTGGCCAATAATATCTTTTACAGCCACATTACAACACAGGTTGATCATTTGCAATAATTCTGGTCATCATTTACACGATGAATCACAAAAATTCAAAATTGAATCCAAAGTTGTTTTCATAATAAATATTTGCGATGGAAGCACAGACTGCAAGGTATCATATCATAACTCCCCCCTGTGTCCTAAGTTTGATCCCTTCTGCGTCAACTTTAAAATAATACCAAGTTTTTTTAAAATAACATCTTAAAAGACCTGGTATTATTGAAATAAAACTAGTTTCATAGCCACAGTTCCCCCATACACAACCTACACCCCCCCCCCCCCCCCCAAAAAAAAAAGAAACATTAAAATCGACTTCTGGTATAATCAAGTCCAGAAAATCTGGTTGCGACTATAAAAGAATATATAAAATTTCACAAAACTGATTTCCAAGGTTTTATCAAAGTCTCCACAAAAAAAAAACATTTAAGTATAATAATCAAATACAAACCAAGAGAAAAACAAGATTGCATTTGAGAAAAATGCTATGCCACCGCATTAATACAATACTAAATAGTAGTGTAGGAACAGATTTTTTTTTGTTTCTATACAATTTTGAAGATATAATGCATAGATCCCTGACCTTATAAATAATCTTATTCTTATTATCAGATTAGTGGTTAAATCTGTTGTTAACTCAATAAAAGATCAGAGTAGGAATATATCAATGCACGCGAGTCTAGTGAATTTGGTGGTGAGGGTCATATTTCACACACCCTAAATTTCATGACTACATCAAAGGACAACACAGTAAGACACTTTGTCAAAATCTAGGTCAGCTGAAATCAAAGTTCAATTTTACAACTAAAACTGTGCAAATGGTCAAAATTTCATTGCTGTACATCAAAGGACAAGAAAGTAGGTCACTGTCCCCTTGGGCAAGGCAAAATTTTGGACCCAAGGGTTTAATTCAAAACAATCTTGATACAGGTCCACCAAACAGCATTTCAAGTCAAATATCTAAGCTGTAGCTTTCACTATACATAGTGAAAATCAATGACCCCTGGGGATGGGGCCAAT